TTTTCCTGTATTTAATGTATATAATAATATCCTGTGATGAAATTTAATAACGTTTTGTTATCGATTCACGTTTATGTAACATAAAATAAATAAATATCTTACAAAAATAAGGGTGTTCCATTGCTTCTCTTGCAGTAAGACGTTCATAATGATCGTATCGTAGAAGTTTATCTAAGAAATCTAAAGCTTCCGGCGATACCAAATGCTGGTTATCACTATGTACGAATCTTTCCCAACGTTTTCGAGAATGTCTTTTTTGAAAAAAAAATGAATTCCCAAATTAATAAAAATTAATTAACAAAAAACCCAACCAATCAACTCATTTAACATGTATTTACCTTCCCAGAATGTCATTAAACCTTGGGTCAAGTTCTATATGATATTTGTCTAAGTATTCAAGGAGTTCTTCCGTTCCGAGAACTTTAGCGATTCGTACGAGTTGATCGTAATTATCATGTCCATGGAAAAAAGGTTCTTTTCGAAATATCATGCTTGCTAACATGCAACCCAACGACCACATATCCAACGAATAGTCATACATCTGTAAAAATTTAATTATTATTTTTACAGAATTGAACTTTTTTTCCCCCCCCCCTATTAAAATTTAATTAACAAACAACAACCGTTTACCTGATAATCTACTAATAGTTCAGGTCCCTTAAAATAACGGGAAGCAACACGAACATTGTATTCTTGACCGGGATGATAAAATTCAGCCAAACCCCAATCTATAAGTCGAAGTTTACGATTTTCATGATCGATCATAACGTTATGGGGTTTTACGTCGCGATGCATGATACCCATACTATGACAGTAATCTAATGCCTGATAATACAAATTATTATTTATTGACCATAGAATGCTGGGATTGAAATTGTTATAATAAATAATTAATAAATGCTTACCTTCAGTAATTCATAGAGATAAAAACGAATGTCATAATCTTTTAAAGTTTGGTAAAGCTGCTTAAAGTCAGTGTTGTTAACATGTTCAAATATCAAAGCAGGTGTACGAGACACTGGGTCTTTCACAACAGATTGTAGGGTTATTATGTTTGTACCCCCTCTTAAATTTTCTAATATTTTAATTTCCCTTTTAATTTTTTTCTTTTTGACTGGTTTCAAAATTTTAACTACACATTTTTCATTGCTTGTGATGTTAATAGCTTCAAAAACTTCACTATATTTTCCGCGACCCAATTTTCTAACTAACTGGTAGTCATCTTGTTGCCTACAAATAATAATAATTTTTTTTTTTTTACATACTAAAATTTTAACATAAAAAAATTTTATCAAAAGACATTAATAATACTAATTGTATAACTCTTTTAAAACTATTTACACATTAGTTTAAAAAAAATTTTTTAAACAAAAGATAAATGTTGTAAGAATTTGTAATATCTATAGATTACTAATTAAAAAATTATTACATCTAATAAGGTAGTTAAATAATTTACAAGTCTAATAACAAAACTAATAACAATGTAATCAAAACTTATTTATGTTGTTAATACATTTTATGAATACCTTGCTAGTTTCATTACTTTAATTTTCTTTCTAACTCACAATGTTACATTAAAAATGTAAACTGTGAACAGTAAGTCGAGTTTTAAGGAATGTACTCTACCTTATAATTTTTTAAAATAAATTGTGAATAATATAAAAATAAGGTTTATAAGTTGGTTTACTGGTATAAAAAATTAAATGAAATTAAAATTAGCATACCCCCAGTCCACCACATAAGACTCATAATCCCAATACTCTCTTGGTTTATGTGAATTGACATCGTTATACACACGAGCCCTGCTTGTAATAGCCATTTCTTCAATCCACTTATGTAGATAACTATGACTTAGGCAAACTGTAAGCTTAGTATTGTTAACAACATGTGTATAAAACAATGAACCTAAAATATAATAAAATTATCAAACATATTGATAGCTGGTCAAATATCTACCTTATAAAGGTAACGTAGAAATTTATATGTGATAAAAGTTAATTAAATAGAACTGCAACGACTAATTTATTACTAATATTTGTAAAAACATAGAAAAAGAATCGTAATTCTTTTTTTGGATAAGAAAATTCAATTGGTTCCTGAATAGGTTTCGACAGTGAAATATGAAAAATTCCAAGTTCCGTTATATTCATAATTATTATGATCATAATGAACGCTTATTGTAACCGAAATAATTTAACGAATGTATAAAATTTGTTTTAACAAAAATTTTTTTGGCTCCAAGTAATAAACTTGTGTAGGTGAATCTATCCATGTTGATTAATTGCCGGTTTACAATTACTTACCTAATTTAT